TGTGTGTGTGTGTGTGTGTGTGTGTGTGTGTGTGTGTGTGTGTGTGCGCGTGTGTGTGTGTGTGCGTATTTGTGTATTCGTGCGTTTGTTCATTTGTAAGTTTGTGCTTGCTTTTGCGTCTGTTATCACGAGAGAAGACCATTACAAGTAGATTTTGGCACTTCACTAAAGTCGCTGTGGAAAGGTATGGTTTACGTACAAAGCGTTCATTCGATTGACGAAGCAGTGTTCGCTTGTATCAGCCAAAGTTCAGCTGAAAGACGGCTGCATTTCTTAGTGAAACTATACACATCGAATAACGTTTCCTATATTATCGTAGGCCTTTTCCTCCATATCATATAAAGTCATGAGCAGGAAACGGATGGTTTTTATTTTTATTTGTTCTTATGATGTCACTCCTTTCATTATCGAAAGATGAAGGAATACCGACCGGAATAACACTGACTGACTTTGAGATACATTTTTGACAAATTCCAAATAGATACAGGCATAAAACAGGCGAAATGACAAGCAGATGAGTCAGTCATTTTTGTGTGCTTCAATGGCTGAGTTCTTCATCAAATCGAAATTTAAAGCACTGAAGCCCCTTTAGTGGAATTTCTTCACAGAAAGTCAAGAAAAAGTGATCACATGCCATCTAGAGACAGGTGTGTCGCGGAATCGACAAAATTTTGTTGATCCGTTGAACGTTCTTGTACCGTATTTTTATTTACATTCCACCCTTACTCATATTTCAAAATCATCAAACTCGGCTTGAAAACATCCACAAAAACTTGGGACCTAATAGGTGTATAAAAGCGATCTTAACCATCATACCATTTAGTTTTTTTAAATCCCAAGTTAACTATGCGGATCAAAACTATTCGATCTTGAGATTTGACTCGAACTGGCTGCGGTTTCGAAATCCATCGGACAACGGAGCGAGGAAGCATAGACGCCAAGTATATTTATTTCCTGAGGACACATGGGAAAAGAGTGATATCGAAAGAAGACTGAAGAAGTTCAGTCATGACGCTGTACTCAGTGATGATAAGGTGAGTAGATACAGCGGATCTAGTAACTTTCGAGCAAACAGCAATTTAATTCTTTTTTCTGTTTGAGTTCCCAATACAAAAAAAGGTAGTTGTTGGCAAACATGTTCAAGACAATAAAATGCCTTTCGTGACGAAGACATGCACATGTCAGGTGTTAAATCTATGTGTCATAGGCTTACACTTAGGGATAATCTGATACTTTGTTAATCTGTGAGAAGATTTTCTTCTACACCTCTAGCTCTCTAGTCACTTTACACAGAAAGTACTAAACACTCAGAATGTTAATCCAAAAACCAGCGGCTCGTATGTGTGGGTGTTTTACCTTTCTTGCTGAATATGTTGTTAAAGACTCATCTATTAAGACTCTCCACGATTTCCTTGAAGCTGTCTGCATGGACGGTATAGCTCTCATTAAAAACGCTCCTAAAGGATCCACAAATGTCGTGCGAGATATCGGCGAGAGGATCGGACTGATACATAGCACCCATTTCGGGTGAGCTTCATTTTTGTAGGACTGGAATATTGCTCAACAGGAGCGTTTCCTTGCGTTACCGGCAATGTTCGACAGTTTTTCTTCGTAACTTAGCCAGAAAGAAAGTTCACTATACCAACAGAAGCTTTTGCTTTGTTTTTCTCGCAGCCCTGTTTTTTATCCTAACGGTACTATCGGCGACCACCGTTAACAGGAGTGACCTATGGAGCATAAATCGGTAATGAACCCACTTAAGCTGCAGCTGTGGTTGAAATCACAATGTCTTAACGTTCATTTACATCCATTCTTTTTTCATAGCATCGATCGAGAAAGCCAAGGCAAGGTCCTTGGATGGTATGGTGGGTAGCACGTGAGACCCCTTAAAGGCAATCACGAGTTCCATGGTCAGGCCAGGTAACTTCCCTACTTTTGTTTACGTCTCATAATACTAGTGGTTGTGGCTACAAGGTGCTATTGTTGCAATGAATCATTGCACGCATGCAGAGAAATGCGACTTAAAAAGACCTCTTCTGTCTTGATAATTTTCAGTTCAATATGTTGGCTTTTTTTGGCAAAATGAACTGTGTAAGTCAGTAATCCAAAAACAAGCAGTAATTCAGTAGTGCCTGAGAATGCCAGAGCTAGAGACTGTCATGGCTGTGAATTCACTACCGGCGAGTACTATGGATCGCACTATTGGTTGGTTAGTAACCGCCTCTATGGTGTTCCCTTATAAGATATTGTAGCGAAATTTACCATATAAATGGAGGCTGAACTAACTCAAGTAACATTTGCCAAAATGGCAAAACTTTGTGATTGGAATTCAACAAGGTGGTGAGCTCTGGTTGATCCCCAGCTTTGAAATAGGAACCTATTTGTGATTCTGATTGGAAGAGTGGCTACTAGCTGGGCGGTTGTTCCCGCAGAGTGTTTTGTATGTCAGTGGTATTTTTATTTCCTGATTCTGATGCTCTTTTGAAGAAGTCCCTAATGCAAGAAAAGCAACGAGAGCAATGATCATAAGCGCTTCAAAACCCGGCGAAGGCGAAGTATGATACGTCGAATAGCAGAGAACATAAATATAATGTTGTAACCGCAATGATTCTGAGATATTTGCAAAACTACGGACCGTAGGTGTCTGCGGTGAGGAACGAACGTGCTATTGCCCTTTGCGGGGAGTTTTGCAAATGTCTCGCCAACATTGTGATTGTATCACACATAATACCCCGCCGTCAAAAGTAGTAATAGGCAGTGAACAAAAAACTTAACGTTATGATTTTGACTGCAGCTTCAGCTTAACTGTGTTCATTGCCGATTTGGGTTCCTTAAATTAGTCCCGTTGACGGGTGACACTGATCGATAGGACTAGCTAAGAGACAGGCGAAACGAAGGACCCGCATGGTGTAGTGGTCAACGCGTTACTCTCTGGAAAGGATAATTGCGTGTTCGTTCCCTACCTTAGAAAACTGAGCTTTGCAAATATTTTAGCATCATTGTGGTTGTATCACACATAACACTAACTGGATACTTGATAGCTGAACAGCCCGCCCTCACTAGTTGTGCGGGCTCCAGCATAATCTCCACTTTTCGGAGATTTGCTGGTTAAGCCATTGTGGTTCCCTGGTATCCCGAGGTCAGTCTGGCCAAAGTCTGCCGCAGATCGTCACCACGACAGGCAGTGGCAGTGTCCAGTCCCATGTGGATCAGAGAGAGATTTGCCACCATTCAACTTTCATACCAGGAAGGTGGTGGATTATGGTATTGGTTTGCTCTTAGCTAGGCTTCCTAATGGAAACGCCGGACTCCTCAGTTTGCGAGGCCCTGCCAGGGGGCGAATTCCCCGCTGTACATCACAGTCCGGCACCCATGGACACCTCTCAGCCACAATGAGGCGGTAAACCGTTGGGAGGTACGTACCTGCCGTGAAAAATTGTTCTAGGCAGCAAATAGAAAGCCTAACATTCTAATGTTGTATTTATGTTGGCTCATCATCAAAAGAAGACTAAAGAATGGATTCCTTAGATCCACAGATTGAATATTGCGTTTTCACCGAACCACTTTGGTGCTGAGATGTTTGCAAAACTTGCATGCCTGGGCAGATCGAATCACGATTACCTTTGCAGCGGGCTCAGCTGTTACGTGTGGCCATTGAGGCCCGGCTGAGAAAAAAGCAAAGGAACGGCCTCAGGTGGAGTGCGTAACACGCGAGTCCTCGGAAAGGGTAACCGCGGTTCGATGTGGTCTGGCGTTCAATTTTTGCAAATTGCTCACCACCAAAATGGTTGTATTTCGCATCATACTCTACCGTGGAAAATAATAATAGGCAGTAAATAAAAGTTAACATTGTGTTTTTAGTTAGGAATTTTTCAGTTTTCAGAAACATCTTCGTGGTGTCGACAAAGTCTGATGCGAGCAATATGGCTTACGCATCTAACAGTGGTCTGCCTTTCCACACCGATTTCCCTTCGCTGTGCGATCCTCCACAGGTTTCAGGCAACACATAGTTGTCACAATCTGTTTGTACTAACAACTCACTTAAAGTGTACAGACTTCGCAAAGCGAAAAACAATGCAGGAATAATCAAGTCCCTAGTGATTGGTTGTTTCTGATTAAGGCAATAGTACGCCCAACACCCTAAGGAGCTGGTTCAGACGGTAGCATTGTTATCCAAGAAAAATGAGCCGACATGCACTGTCTGTTTTTATGGAGATTCTTTTATACAAGTCAAGTGTGAAGACTTAGAAAAGAGCACTCTTCCAGGCCACACATTATTATTGCTGTTCTCCATATTAATAGGATAACTTTTTCTTCCAGCTTCAAATGCTCCACATGATCGAGAAAGCACAGGAAGGTGGTAACAACTTGTTCGTCGATGGATTTCATATTGCTGAGCAGGTCAGTTCTACTTTCATTGGTTCATAAATAAGACACGTCCGCAATCACTGAGCCAAAGTAAAATCCTGACTCATAAAGCTAAAAAAAAAAGCTCTCGGCGTTGATCAATCTGTAAGGGATGCACCATACGTTCGACTTCATTAAGCATCGTTTGGAGGTGATTGAATGCATATCTAGCCTTTACAATGACTGGTAATGATTTACCGATGTATCGAGCCAATGCCGCTATCCTACCAGACAAGTCTGGTACCAATTTGAAGACTCCGGAGAGATGGAAGGCTTGGTGAGCCATGCGCGCCGAAATCGATTCCACGTGTATGTTACAGGGCGCCTCTAACCACTGCGCCACACTCGCATTGCTCCTGACTCATAATATAATATTTTAAAAATGGACTTTCATTTAACCCTAGTACGGCTGATCAATATGTATTCTTTTACTGATGATAAGCTAACATGAGTTTGATAAACAATTTTGTTCAGATAATGTTTCGACGTCTTCGTCTTCATCAGAGCCGATGATTCTAGTCGATGCCCACAGCCGTCCTTCTTCCAATGAAGAAGATTCAACTCAATACGATGACGAAGGCACCATATCGAGAGTACGAACGACTGTGAGCATCATCGACTCTGAGGAAGGTGAAGACGTCGAAACGTTAGCCGAATAAAGTTGTTAATCAACTTCCTATTAAATTATCAATGAAAGGATGCATTATAATAAAGGATAAAGCTCTCGGTGTTGATCAATCCCTGAGAGAAGCGCCATGTATTCGATTTCATTAAGCATTGTTTGGAGGTGATTGAATGCATATCTGAATCGCGGTGGCCTCGCGATGTATCAAACCAGTGCTGCTATCCTCCCAGAAAAGTCCGGTAGCAATTTGCCGATCCAGAGAGATGGAAGGCTTGGTGGGCCATGGGCGCATGGATCGATTCACGTGTGTGTTGCAGGGCGCCTCCGACCATTGCGCCACACGCGTTCACATTATAGTAGAATGTTATAAACACAATGACGGTGAGATATGAGCAGAACTCGGTACCTCAAGTGTGCTTCGAACTTGCTATAATATTAACTTTCCTTGCTCATGTATTATCCACTGCACTAACAGAGGCCCTTACTTTGAATCTTTGCAATGAAGTAACACTTGCTGGGAAATGGTGGCGATTTCGGAAAGCTCTATAGAAGTTTTCCAAGGAAAGGCATTTTTTTCCAATCAGCAAACCTGCATGGTATGAGAGGACGAGATATTACAGGATTCAGATTCGGAAGTATTTAAGTGTTATAGGAAGAAGAGGAAGCATTGATCTCAAAAACATCGGATAAGAATTAGATTACCATCCCGGTTATCATCTTGGATGAGCATTTTTAACGAATTAGTGCTAAGACATCGCCTTTCGCTTCGATGTATTACTGGTATAAATTTATACCTCTAAACGGTGTCGGAAACGCATTAATAGGAACGTTGTTACCAGATTTGTAGATTCTCTCGCAAACTTTGTTGAATAGTTTGGTAAATGATCTGATTCCCTATCATGCCTTGCGTGGTCTATCAAATATCAGTTAATCAGCAGCCTTCCAATCTCGATTCTTGATACATCTTGGGCTGAATAGGATTGTATCCAAGGTGTTTATTGGCACTTCAATTGCAATCTGAAGGGAAAATTCGATGAATCTCTTCGTCTTTTCATGTTGTTAATTCCCACGATTCATGACCCTGCGTTTTCTGGACCGTTTCTTTCTCAATCATTGTGATCATGTGAAGTTGGCAGATATACACATGTACTTACGTTGTCAAAACTACAAAACTCACCTAAATCTGCCTGAAAAAAAAAGAAAATTGTTTTAAAACAGAAAAATGCGACGCACTGAAAAATACAAAAAGGCGTCAAGCCCATATTTAGGTGGGCAATTCGGACCGTGTGCATCATGTATGACCCAGACGTCGCGTTGAGGCAGCAAGCGTTGTCCCATGCGGTGGTTTTCGAAAATTGCACATACTCACCACTGCCTATGTAAATTGTTGAGCTTACATGATGCTGATAAACGAATTTATTCGGCTAACGTTCCGATGCCTTCGTCCTCATCAGATCAGATGAACCGGGTCGATAGCTCACAGTTGTTCGTCTTCTTCTCGACATGGCATCTTTGTAGTCGTGTCGAAACGGATCTTTTTCAGTGGAACACGCACGAATGAGACATTCTCACTTGACAGTACTTCTAATCGTTGCGGCTATGTTAATGTGTCAGCTTCTCGTAGTAATCTCGTCGGTTTTTAACCGTCAAGTTCAAAAACTCGTATCTTATAGTGAACTCTATTGATCGAAATGGGAACCATTAGAATATCGCATCTTTGCCAACAAGACGATTTTTCCTCTATTCCATCACAACGAAATTCCAAATTTCTAGAGTCCACAAGTCTTCTGAACTAATTTCCAGCAGTGGCTTCCCTGTTAAGGACTTTCTGAACTAACATTCATGAGGTACTTAAAATAGTGGCAGGCGACCTGCAAGAGGTCCCATTGATCATCTAGTAGAATATCGATTGCGTTTTTAGTGTTAGGTTCGCCTCTCTTTCTACCGTTAATTTCACTTAGAGCAGTGTCGGAATATCGTCAATCAGCAGACCTTTCTAGTCTCTGTGAAGCTTACGTCACATATCTTCCATATAACCGTCCATGATAGAGCATTCTACTTGCTACTGTTTGATATTTTCAAAACGCTCCATAATTGACCAAAGAGTGCGCGTCAGCCCGAATATTGCCGTTACTTATGAAAGAAATATAATACATCTTCAAAACCTCATTAACTTTTGAGAAAGAAGTGAAATATGTGCATTGTCAGCTTCGTCGAGAAAAGCCGAACTTTTTCAAATTACTGACGACATCGCCAATAGAGTTTATCGAGGAAGGCTTTGACATCCACGATGGCCCCGACGGCAGGCCATCGAGATTTGACTACAATATGTGCTCCCGGCACCGCACTATCAAGTACGTATCTCGCAAATTCTTTAGAATTTCTGTTCTTAGGAGTCAAATTTCGACGAAGTCTAAACCATAATTGTTAGAAATCATGCCTCAAACAACCTTAAACATTCTTCGAAATTTTAAATTTTTCACTGAATACTCTGAATAAAGGCGCGTGCGGCACTGTGGTTGGAGGTGCCACTGCGACACACACGTGAAATTGATTCCGGCGCCCATGGCCTACCAAGCCTTTCATCCCTCCGGGGTCGACAAATTGGTACCAGACTGGTCTGGGAGGATAGCAGCACTGGCTCGATACATCGGCAGGCCACCGCGAGTCATTGTAAAGACCAGATATGCATTCATTCATCTCCAAACGATGCTTAATGAAGTCGAATGCATGGTGCATCCCTCTGGGATTGATCAACGCCGAGAGCTTTATCCTTTATTTCTTTTTTTACTCTAAATAATGTTAATCATGACGTAGTTACCACATCGAAAAGGTTAACGCGTTGAAATATAGTGCGCTGCAGTACCTCTAAAAGACTTGGAACCAATTAATTGCTACTGAGCTTCATTTGCGGCTAAGCAGTTCCATGTCTCATGTGGTTAGTGCAGAGATTTAATAAGGAGATAAACTGTTATAGCTGTAGCAGTGCTGGGTGTGGAATGAAAGTCTGTTCCGTTGCACTGGAAACAAAAGAAGTCATACGAGAATGTTTGCACGGAGGTGGATTACTTTTGCCCAACTTTGCACCTATTTCTGTTCTAGTGCTTCATAATTCCTGAGGGATGCACCATGCAATCGGCTTCATTTCATTAGGGATTGGAGGTAACTGAATGCATATCTGGCCTTTACAATGACTCGCGGTGGCCTATCGATGTATCGAGCCAGTACTGTTGTCCTTCCAGACAAGTCTGGTACCAACTTGCCAACCCCGGAGGGATGGAAGGCTTAGTGAGCCTTGAGCGTTGCTATCGATCCCATATGTAATGCAGAGCGCCTCCGACCACTGAGCTACACGCGCTCTTGGTTCATATATGCGAATAAGATATGTTCAACTAGCTTTCTTCAATATTTAAAAGGTATTTAGATTACTTGGTGTTTAAAACTCATAGCACTGAATGTGCTACTGGATATTAAATGTAAAGCAAATCGTTTCAGATTGGATGACAGTGGTCGAGTGGTCAAAATCCAGTTCGGGAACGCCATGAGGAGTTGGTTCTACGACTGTGAACCGGAGAAAATTCAAGAAATATACAGGCACGTACTATTAAGTCTGTAATTATTGGATATAACTAGTCGTCTGGAATTTGAATGTTGGACCATAAAATGTCCAGCTCTTCGATAACTAACCATAGCGGTACTTGCTCCAATTTCTTCATCGAGTACACCGTTTTCAGAGCCCTAAAAACATTCACCGACTACTGCTACCAAGACAGGAACATATTGAAGTTAGCGCTTGAAAATGGTTTGTATTAACTTATTTAATTTCTAAACCTGAAAGTGCATTAATTTTAATCTAAGGTTTTCTTTGATTTTAAGTGTTTGGCTTTCTTAATTTTCGGTCTTCCTCAATTATTCAGTCTCCTTCAGTATTGAAAAAAGAACCGGAGCTCTTGAAAATGCCTAAAAATGAAGGTAGCTATTTGCTTGGAATTTTAAGAAAACTGTTGCTCACTAAAAATAACCATGACTTCAGCAGCCAAGTGCAAGTCAGGGGATTACCCTCTATAAGATGATTGAGGAGACTTTACAGGTGATACAGTACTCTGGGCGAACACTCGCCTGCTGCACAGACGCGATGCCTTTCGTAATGCGCCAAACGTCAGCAGGACTTTAGCAGGATGCTATTTTTCCTGGGACATAGTCAAGTCCAGAGTACGACTCTTAAAGCGAAGGCTTGAACTACCGTGCGCTCAGCCTTCTGCTTAATCGGCTACACGACAATAACATTTCAGTGGATGGAATCGAATAAAAAATTGTGTACCCTTTTTATTGCAAGAGATCTTTTCAAGATCAAAACCACAATGAGCTATGAAATTTATACACGAAAGGGAGGTTTCAAGGGAAGTAGATAGATTAAAAAAAAGGATAAAGCTCTCGATCAATCCCTGAAGGATGCGCCATGCATTCCACTTCATTAAGCATCGCTTGGAGGTGATCGAATTCATATTTGGCCTTTACAATGACTGCCGGTGGCCTAACGATGTATCGAGCCAGTGGTCCCATCCTCCCAAACTAGTCTGGTACCAATTTGCCGACCCTGGAGGGATGGAAGGCTTGGTGGGCCATGGGTGCGAGGATCGATTCCACGTGTGTGTTGCAGGGCGCTTCCGACCACTGCGCCACAGGCGTCCTTGGGAAGAAAATAGAAAAGTACTTCATTTTCAATATGTTTTTCAGTGTATCACTTCACATATTTATATCACAGCAATAAATCTGTACAAAAATGAAACAGAATCACCTGAAAATCTCGGTCAAAATGGGACAATGAATAGGAAAAGAATATAAATAGAGAAGCGTGTTCGCTCGGAATCATAGCAGATTGGTTCAAATGCCTGTCGGCTAGAAATTCAACAAGTTCTGTTTCAAGAAGGAATCAAAACTGATCACACCGACAAAGGCATGTACAAAGGTGTAGCGAAGAAAAATTAAACAAAGAACGAGAAGTAAATGAAGGATTATGCTAAAGTAAAGAATAAGCTCGTTCTATCAGATATGAGAACGAGATATGATAATGATATGAAACTGAAAAAATCTAACAACAACGGGATGTAAAGCTCGTACAAACTTTCACAAAAGAAAAAGATATCATACAAAGCAAAAATAATAAAACTGTCTAAAAGCGGGATGAAGGCCGGCTCCGAGTTATGGGGCATGACCGTCGCGGATATGTATGCATTCTCGGAATTCGGAAGAAATGTCAGGGATACGTATAGTTGTCTGAGTACATTAATTCTAAACAAAACAACAGTAAAATACCAAACCTATACCGGATTGCGAGACCAACTATTGCCACTATTGTAGCCTCATTCGAAGGTTGGTGTCACGATCTGAACTTCATATTCTCCCATTATGAGGTTTGGTAGCGTAAGACAGTTATGACTGGTTGCCTTCCAGCTGAACGTGCATATTGCAACTGTTCATATGATTAAGGGAGAAGGCAAAAGGGCTAGCTAGCCGTACTAGGTTGAGATGCAATAAAGAAGTTTCCGAAATTTCTCCTGAATAACGCTACTATAAAGTATAAATCTCATGAATGATTAAAGGACAGTAGTAGTAATTGGTGCCAGTTGATGGAGAAGAGTGGTGTAAATGTGGAACAGATAGGCGAGAAGAAATAGAAACAGGAAGGAATGGAAGAGTGTTTATCACAGGGCTCGATCTATATATGTATGGCATGATGGCGCTCGTACTCGTCAAGTTTTCATAGGTACCCTCATGGGCGAAAGAACTATACTGTGGAGTTAAATACATTAATAAGGATGTGGGCATATTGACAAGAGGAAACCCTGTTCTCGATGTTTCTCGAAATAATAGACAAACCAGTCTTGGCAGTTCGATGTCTCTACCGCGATATCTAGTGACTTGACTAAAAACGTTAAAAAAGCCGTCTTGAGTAAAGGACAGTTGAAAATTAACAACAGACACGGTTTCATTGAAAAATAATGACTTCTTCTAATGCTTTCATATTCCGCCCTATTATCCACAGGCTTGCGCAATATCGTAGTTAAAGCCAGTTCCAATGTTAGCGAAACTAAGAATCCTTGTGCAGTGAGAATGAGGTAGCGGAACCTGCCACTTCATCTCGGATGTGTCGATAACGTACAGACACCTCCAAAAGTACCAAACCCGAGGACTCGTCGATGTGTTTTATTGGTAAGAAGGAATCTAGATGTGCCTATCTCCTCAATTATAAGAACATTAGGTCGAGGGTACAACAATAGGTATAAACGACAGCTACGATGAACAAGACTAGTTGTCAGCCGAGTCGTTAATAGGACTAGATTCCAGACTTCGAAAACGAAACCCGCAAATGAGCGTTCTCAGCAAGTTTATGGTTATGCATGATGATGAGCGCCTCAATCGCCGTCTCCACGTCATCCAACTGACACAAAGCCATCTTGTGATCTTTCCTGCAATTTTTACTTATTACGAGTAATCAACGTTTTTAAGGCAGAAATGGCAGAGAACAAAAGAGTGTTATAATTGGTAAGATGCTTACTCAGCCAGCAATAACCACAAAAAGTGTTAATTGGCTAAAAAACTATTACGACGAATATGGCATTTATTATTACCGTGGGAAATGTTATAACACGAAACGAAATATACATGCATATATCTATGCATATATATACATGCATATATATATGTGCTTAGGTTTTCATTATCCCCTGTTACGAGAGCATTTAATCGACCAGCGAGGTTTGTTTGTATGTAAAGCAACAAAAACATTAAACTCACGGAAAGAATTTGAACGCTTTGACGGAGAATCCGTTCTGCTCGAACGCTTCGGTGAGTGTCTGCTCTGAAATGTTCGGCGGAATGTTCGACAGATGGAGAGTGCAGCTGGGTGGGTAGATGTTCATGTAGTTCTTGCTTCCCGGTTTCTTGAAACGATGCAGTGGGGAGTGGGAGTAGTCCCTTGTGAGGCCTGCGTCTGGTTGACCTGCGGAACAAAACTGCTCGACCGAAAATCACTTATTGGTATTCAAAAAAATCGTAGAAAGGGGAAAAAAGAAGAAGAAAACCTAGTGCTAAGACTTTTATTTAAAACACGGTCGGTTTGACCATGCTTTGAATTGTTTTGAGGTAAAACGCTGTTTCTTGGGAGTATTTCCCAGCAACGATCTGTGGCACATTAAATAGTTAATGAAGCTTAAGAACTAAATAAAAAATTGATTCTGATGGAAAGAATTGTATCGACTAAACAATCACATTTAATGGTAACAACAATGTATACAAGAGTTGTAACAAATACTTAGTACAAAAACAATGTTGTAGTATTCGAAGCGCACTTCGTCGTATCGTAGATGCAACGGGTTCCAGTGGACGTTTGTTGAAAGAATGATAAAAGGATAAAGGATAAAGTTCTCGGCGTTGATCAATCCCTAACAGATGCACCATACATTCGACTTCACTAAGCATAGTTTGGAGGTAATTGAATGCATATATGGCCTTTACATTGACTCGCAGTGGTCCACCGATGTATCAAGCGAGTGGTGATATCCTCCCAGACAAGTCTGGTACCAATTTTTCGGCCCCGAAGGGATAGAAGGCTTGGTGGGCCATGGGCGAGGAGATCGATTCCACGCCTGTGTTGCAGGGCGCCTACGACCACTACCCCACACGCGCGAAAGAATGATAGAAATAGAATATTGAAGAAAAAACAAGGAACAAAACCTTCTTTGGGCAACTGGACGTTGTTGTGCTTCGACGGAGCAACCCGGATAACCCGATCGTGCCAGCGAATTTTGTCAAGATGTTGCATGGCTACAAATATCCATGTAGTGCTTCCACAGAAATTTTATGGCTACTAATTTAGAATAATTGACATCATACAACAGTTGAAAAAATCCCATTAGAAAGTCATTCCAGAACATGTAAGGATAACGAACCACATACCACTCACCTAACTGTGCTTGTTGAGGCTCCGAATACTGTATCAAAGCGTTGTCTTTTTTGTTATAAAGAATCTTAACACGTACCACATCACCATAGACACCTAAGTGCAACGATTCAACAACAAAAATAAATTATTTATAATGCATATAAGTATTCTATGAAAAGCCAGAAAGGCCTACAGTTTTAGCTACCAAACAAAAGTACTCGATGAATAATAGCAAATGATTCTACCAATATTTCATCACCAACAAATCGACCCTCCTAAAAGTTTACCGCATCATCGTGGGTAGGAGGTATCCCTGGGTGTCGGATTGCGATATACAGCGGAGAGATTCATCTATGCGGCAACGTCTCCCAAGCTGAGAAGGAGTCCGCCTTTCCATTAAGAAGCCTAGTTAAGAGTAAATCAATACCAGGATCCACCATCGCCTTAGTATCAAACTAGTCGCAAGGTGGCAACTCTCCCTGTGATCCACAAAGGCTGCGATTTCCTATGGTGGTGCCAACCTGAGGCGAACTTTGGCTAGGGTGACCTCGGGACTCCAGGGAATTACAATAGCTAAACCAGCAAAACTCCGAAAAAGGGAGATTATGCCGAGGCCAGCACAACTAGTGAGGACGGGTCGTCCAAGTATCAAAGTAATCGACTAAATTCATAAAATATTACGACGGACTCACCAAACAATATGAAGAGCGCGTCGGGCGACACCTTCTGGAAAAAATATGGCTTAATCTGTCTCGCTTTCATCCACTGTCAAACTACAGCGGGATACATTTGCACAAAACAATTTTATGACTATTTCGAAGTAGCTAATACTGAGCAGTTGGATGTTTAGGCCTTGTCAATTGAAGGACTCGAAGGCCCCTATGCTCCAAAGGAAAGATTTTTAATACGAATGGCAAAAAGGTACAGTTGGTCAAAAGAAAGATTTCAACAGTGCTTCTAACATTTCAATTTAATTTCTTGAGCTTCCCAAACCAAATACAGCCCGTTCCTCCCAACAGTTTACTGCTTCATCGTGGCTGGGTGCTCCTGAGTGTCGGACCCCTAGCTGAGAAGGAGTCCGTCGTTTCCATCAGGAAACCTAGTTAAGAGTAAACCAGTACCAGGTCCACCACCGTATTGTATCAAACTAGTCGCACGGTGGGAAATCTTCCTCTGATCCACAAGGGCGGCGACTGCCTGTAGTGGTGATAACCTGGGACAGAATTTCGCCTGGCTGACCTTAAAACGGTTAAGCCAGCAAAACTCCTAAACAATGGAAATTGCGCTGGGGTCAGCACAACCAGTGGAGACGGGCCATCCAAGTAACGAAATATCCAAGTAAAGAAAGACCATTAGTTATTTTAATTGCATGCGTCTATACGTGAAGCACCCTAGAAATTCTACTTTTTTCTTGTATGCTTAAATTTTGGACTATCACTGGAAACGTTCTTACTAACATTTTCGTCCAAATTCGATACGAGGACCACGGATGTGATGCTAAGTATATTGACAGGGAATCGAAGAGAGGTCAGAGTAGAAGGAGTTAGACTCCCCATGGCGTTACTCAGCGTCCCAAGTGACGGAAGGTACTGTGACAGTGCTGCTGCATCTAAAACAAAAACAGTGAGCAAGAACAAATAACTGAAAATAAATGGGATCACTTCAAAACAATCTATTACTAACCTTTTAAATTATCAATACTTATGAATTTTTTGGCATTTGACAAACGACTGATAAACTACGGGATATATTCCTTCCATCAGCAAGAGTAAAATGTTTAATAGGTAGAATAAAAAATTAGCATTGTAAAGGGTTTCAATATTTGGAACACATAAAGCTATAAGTGAGTTTAACAACGGGAAAAAGTCCCGGAACGTCGATAAAAACTAAACGGTTAACTAACCAGTGGTTATGGTGGAAGGTATGAATGCAGTAGCAGGGTTTGCGCCAAATGCGAATGAATATGGTGAAGCGGTCGGTAGAAGAGACTGGAGGCCCGGAATCCCTGTAAACCTTGTCATGCCTTCTCGTAGAACATATGTCAACTATATCGAAAATTCGTCCACTTCTAGCTGGTTTTAAACTTGTAAGCTATTTTGAGACGTTGAATTAACAGCTAAAAAAGTAGTTCTGCACTTTACTAAGCAATCGAGGACAGCTGTCTTCATCGCTGAATATTTGTAGTATACTCAAAGTCATTGAAGAGATGGTTTTCTTCAATATTGACACATAAAGTTTGCTTTAGAAAACCATAAGCACAATGAGAGGTCAGAAATCTAGTGGGGAATATAAAAATGCGGTTACCAAGTCCTAGCTGTTGCTCGAGGCTGATTTCTCCGGACGGTAGGTTTGGGTTGGTATAGTCTCTGCTCTTGTCGTTGTTGTATTTCACATTCAGCGTGCTTAATTTACTGTAGTCTATACGCAAGGTACAGCATCTAAAGTAAAAAAGTACTAAGCAAAAGTCCCGGAATGTCGATAAAAACGACTTACCCGTTGTACACATTTTGATTTTCTAGATTCTGCTTAGCCAGTTGAGCTGCACTAGCCTCGCTAATCTGTACCAATGCTTGGAACGTGTCTGAAAACGTGGAATTAGTCACAACTGCTCCTTCACCAAGTTTGACGAAAGCAGGCTGCATGTCAGCCAATGGAAAAGCACATGTGGAACACAGAAGAACTAAGAAAGAAATAAAAGTGGGAATAAGCGGTAAGGTAGGAAAGGACGGAAGAGACTCACTATTCTTGTTGAATGTTATGATCCTCAGTACTTTGCCATAGCGAGAGAAGAGCTAGAATAGGAAAGGGGTGTGAACAGAGCAGAAATGATATGCTAACAACAGGTGAAATGATAGATGGTGAAAATTTCGAAAAGCTTTCTCGAAATTGAAAAGAATTCCACGCCTCTTCGGCCATGCTTGTGCGTGTGGACGTTACAACCATGGCTATAGCAAAACTCAAGGTAAGGAGTAGGCAGCCTTGACATCTTAGCGTAGTACAACTTCCACGTACCGAGTGCAACACGTCCAGTGTGACTGGGTAGACCATATTTTCGATGATGACTCGCAGTACACTATTGGGTGCCTGCTGCGTGCCACCCGATATGTCCAGAGTGGAGATCGAGCTTCCATTTGAGATAGGAAGACCCTAAAAGAGAACAAATTTTCTTGCGCTTTAGTCGTCATTCTTTTTCTTTTTACTAATAACTCGACAATACGCAGCAATCATAAACAAGGAACTCACCATGAACTCACCGCTGAATACGACATGAGCAAACTATGCACTTGTAGAAAGTTTACAAAGCGCTACGAATTAGCTCGATGAATTTCAATTTGTTATGGTTTAAAGCACATGAATGTCACGTCAAAACCCGGAAAAGTAGTAACACGATGTTTTCTACTGACCAGTATACCGAATGACAGCAAAATTTGTTTACAAAAACCGAAATTTTTTCACTTTTATTTTAATGTTTCCAGAAAATGACATTCTTCAGAGATCCATACGTTACTCCTATTCTTTCGATTGCGTATATTACAAATGACGTCTGTAACATTATAAGACGAAGAGAGTATGAATGAGCAATATTCAGCACTAGTGTAGTGGTAGTGACACCGATCATCAGACGCGACGTCCTGGTTCGACCTTGTCCAGGCCTCATCAAGTGTTTCGTTCTGGTCGATTCGAAAATCGGTACCAGACTTTTGGGAAACAGTTCCCTTCCTGGAATCCAAGTGGGAACGCTCTAGCTCGGCTATCCCAGGACTAGAAGGAGAATCGAATCCACCAGTACCCCACATTTACAAGGAAGACGACAATCCTCAAGCAGATGCCGAACTCACATGCGAAAAGCTTGAAGACCATCGTGGATAACGGATGCGAAAAAAATCCAATGCAAGAATAGCTGAGATCCCAAAAATAGAACTAAAGGCTGCATGTATTAAATAGAACAAGATGAAATAAACAATTCCTGCATTTGAAGGTGATAATAAGCAGGCATCTGGTTGAAAAGACAGGTTTCCCCAATCTCCAAGGACTTGTACCTGATGAACTAGTGAAACTAAAACTAAACTAGTAGAGCAGCTAGTAGTGCAATAGCTTTCCACATGATTTCAGGTCAATCCATTAGCTACATTTATTGCCTCATTTTCCATTCTCATAAATACTAAGACAGGACATTGTAGAGAACTAAAAAAAAGTGCGGCCCAACTACCACACGCGTTTTGGGGAATTCTCCGACCCTTTTGTAATCAATACAAAGGTTCTTTTCAGCATTGCAGTGTCAATGCTTAGTTTTCACTAGTATCTATTTTTGGTCGTAAATTTGGAATGCACGAGAGAAGAGAACTTAACGAACTTGGATAGGCATATATTGCGTTTCATTAACTCCGTAGTTCTACGCATACAATTTGACATGTTTCCACCCATTTTTTACCCAGATAACACCGTCCGCGCTAACATGTAGTGCACGCTTCAGTACTTTTTAATCGCTTTATATTCTGGCAAGTTCCACCAACGAAGGTAGTAGGTGCCGTGTGTGGGCTCGACTACAGCTTGGAGGTTTGCTTCCTGTTTCTCAGCGATGTGTTAGTAGCTGGATGAGCGCGGTTATTCCTGGAGATCCTGGATAACTATGCTATGACGTTTCAAGATTGTCGCCACAGGCAGTCGCTAGATAATATTCTTAGATTTTGATATGGTGGATCAGAGGATACTACTTAGCGCCTGGAATTCTCCATATCAACCATGGATTCTTATGAATAGTCGATCGAAGACGATTTGGCAGTCCGTCTCATATTCCATGTTATACTTGATGCTCTTGCATGATTTATGTTCTTTCCTGTCTCTTCTAATTTGGTTCTGCGTTTGAGTTTCTCTCGCAGCTGAATTCCAACTCGAGATTATATAGAGTGTTAAAGAAGGATAAAATGAAGTGTGAGACTAGAGAAAAGAGCATGTGATACAAGGGAAGTGTGGTTTTCGTACGGGAGCGAAAAAAGCTGACGCTTTCCCTTCCAGGTATACTACTTTACTATGTTAAAATATCTGGAGCGATGTTTGACGATGGTTGACAAAATCGATATTTTAAAGTACCTTTCGAAGGAACAGCTAATTTATCTGGCACCCTTAAAGAATTCTATGATGTGAAGACATTTTGGAGAATCTGAGGAAGAAAAGCATTTTTGAGTAAATTGAAATGAAAAATACTCCACGGATGCCTTGTCATACGGAATTTTGCTAAACTCAAGGAATTCAATCCATGTAGAGGTAGAGGTAGGTATATGTAGAGGTCGGGAGCGTGTAGCGCAGTGGTCGGAGGCGCCCTTCAACACAGACGCAGAATCGATCTCGGTATCCATGACCCACCAAGTCTTTCAGCCCTACGGAATCGGTAAAATGGTACCAGACTTGTCTAGGAGGATAGCAGCACTGGCTCGATACATCGGTAGGCCACCGCGAGTCATTGTAGAGGTCAGATATGCATTCAATCATCCCCAAACGATACTCAATGAAGTCGAATGCATAGGGCATCCCTCAGGGATTGATCAACACCAACAGCTTTATCCCTTTTTTTTTTAAAATGTGTGCTCCCTAACGTACCCACCTTTTCGTTTTTTTATATTTCATTTGCAAATGCATTTTGCCACTATATGGTATTGTTTTTAGGACTTTCAATTTCACCACCGCTGGACTGCGAATGAGTTTGATATTTCTATCCAGAACTCAACTAGGATTAAATCTAAGCAATGGTAGAGCACAACAATCTACTAGTAGCACCTTCTCGTTAGAGGAGTGAATAATGGCCATCATATCGCGAATGGAATGTCATTCGTGTCCTTTGGTTGAGCGAGCGGAACCCAGTGAAACTGCATCACTTGTGTATGTGTCAACGTGTGCGTGTGATGAGGACGAACATAGTTTACTTTAGTGATACCGGTACAACTTTTAACGGAAATACAAGTGAAGATGAAGGTCGTCCAGTGCTCTCGATGACCCTAAGGTGAAGATTCATACTTGTTGACACTAGAAAATGTTACGGGTGAAAAAAAACTGCTGGTATTTGCAAGCCTATGAATATCGTAAACCAGAATACAGGAATGATGAAAATTGAAAATTAACATAATCTAAAGGCTACTTCGCACTTCGAAAGACATAACGATTACTAAAACATATAATACAACAATATAGCGCGTGTGGCGCAGTGGTCGGAGGCGCACTGCGATACACATGGGAGCGATCCACGCGACCATAGCCCACCAAGCCTTCCATCCCTCCTGGCTCGGCAAATTGGTACCAGACTTGTCTGGGAGGATGGCAGCACTGGCTCGATACATCGGTAGGCCACCGGGTGTCATTGTAGAGGTCAGATATGTAATCTATCAACTCTAAACGAATTAATGGCGCATCCCTAAGCCGTGATCAATGCCGAAAGCTTCATCCTTTATTTTTATTTAATAAATTAAATATATAGTAGGTCACAAACATAGCATGTATTATATATAATACAATGTATTATATATAATACAATGTATTATATATGCACATAATATACAATTTGTATTGGACATCATATATATTGCAATACAATATTACAGCACCTGAAATGTTGCAAGGACGGTGGATCCACGTTACACATTCCACAAAAAGTTGAATCTACCTTTCTGCATACACAAATTTTCTTTTCTATCCCACATTGTAAGTTTGAGTATGTTTGTTAGCTAAGGGCAGCAAACTGCATCACTTATAGGGCCAAGCCAGTCAAATGACTGAGTAGAACAATCCAGAGTTTGATATCACGGAAATAATCACCCCTTTCAGCTTTGCTTGCACAGTTTCGAAAATACGACATCAGCTTTCACATTATAGTGATATAGTTCTGCATAACTTTTGCTTATATCGACTGTGCCGATCCCAGCACATGGGAGAAGGTACCACAAGAAGTAATTTGTGACTTCGAAAGCAATTCGGAACGTAGGAAATAGTATATTTCCTTACAACGGGTATTTTAATGGATATCACTTGAAACGCATCGTAAGCGAGACCATGGTTGGGTCGATGGCACGTCATTCTAAGGAGCAACAAGTATGCCTGAATTGAGACGGAAAGGGGAAATGTTGTTAAGAAGGAAAATGAAATGATGAATTTAAGACCAGTATGATTAATGATTAAAATTAGTAATCTCTACTTGCTGCTACTCTCTACTGATTTGTCCGACTTGGAACAGCATTAAATAAATATGACTTAACAAAAGCCTAATGAATATTGAATGGATTAATCTCAATTTCCACGCAACACACTGAGCACAAATTACGCTAATGCAGTGTTCCACCGTTTGACAAGCATGCAAACAACGATCGCAGTTTCCCACGTTTACGTTCGCTACGGCGGATATACTGACGTCCCCAACTCATACACCGCTTTTTAAACCTTAGTCTTTGTTTGCTTCATGTTTCATTTTGTCATGATAATTTCCGAGTACATAAATACATAAACTTTGTTAGTCATCGGGAGTTTTTTTCAGGTCACGTCGTACCTGGTCAGTGTGGAACGAGTCGTATATGAGATAGGAGTCTGGCATCACCTGGGCAGCCATTCTCTTGGCATCCAGAAGGCGTAAAGGCGCACCGCGCTTCGTCGTCTGTCCAGGAATACATCGATAAATGTAGGCATGGAGAATTCACGAACGACCGACAAACGTAAATACACGTATACAAACACGATCGATGTATAGGTGACGTTGAAAATGGAGGATAGCGGACAGAACCGTTGCTCACAGGGAGCAAAGAACGCGGAGCCTAATTGCAAAAATAAGCCAGAGCCACAGAGAACATCAGAAATACGATGAAATAGAATCGCTCGAATGGGGTCGGCCATTAGGTGACTAATGGCATTCTAAGTAGAAAGGATTCTTACCGAAAGCTTACATTCGCAAAGAGTCATCAAGCTTCAACAGAAACTGAGTGATGCTTGAATGACGGAAAGGTTAGAATGGAATGCGACTGATGTCCGCCCAGGAGCGAACGGTTTGCTTTGTGCAAGCAATAGATGTCTTGCTGCATGCAGTCATGAAGCGTCCTATCCAATTGTGAGCATTGAATGATTCTGCAGTTCGAACACTGAATCGATAGTCGCTTGAACAGAAGCACCAATAACAACCACAGCAGAATTTTGGGCATTATGACAGAATTCTCCAGTAACCAGAAAAACCGCGACTTAATCAAGTAACCAGTCGCTTTAGAGGCTATGAG